CTTGAAGTAAGCAACTCTTAATAGACATACTGGAGATCAATTGAAAATCTTTGACCTACAGATTCCTAAAAAAAATCTAAAGCCCTCCTGGGTGAAAATACTTAACACATATCCAACTAGAGCAAGATATCATGGCATTAAAAAAATCTTTTACTATAGATCCACTTTTTTCCTTATATCATTCATTTCTACATATATGAAGCATCAGCAAAATGGAGATTTTCAATTCTTTACTATATGGGAGGAAAGCATAGATACTTGGAGCTAAAGAGTTTTTTCCATTTCTTTATATATTCAAGGATTGTTTTGACTGATCATATCAATATTTAAGTAAATTCAGTAAGTTCATGTTTTGTCCCCTGGTCTTTTGAATCTCCACAAAAAGCAAAAGGAAGACTGAATAAGTTACCAAAGGCAGAATTAACTATTTGATCACAGAAGTGGTCTAGATTTAAAGCGGTACATAGCAAGCTTTTTTTCCGCTACTTCTGCCCACCGTTTTTCATACTCAGCAGAGGACCTGGACTATTTTGATGCCCCTCTTAAGGAGCTGAGCCAGATGTTTCTATCATGCACAGTGCTGAGATAATCGAAGTACATCTGAAAGCTAGATGATTTGCCTTTCATTACTCTGCATTACTGCTACTAAATTGCCCTGAGCAAGCTAGTTTGGCCATCTTCAAACAACATTCCTAAACAGAGTGGAAACCATCAGAAATACTGAATCTTCATATGCTGGGGATTTGGGCAGATTTGGGCAGATCAGTGTCAAAACCCGGGTAGAGCTTTACTATGAAAGAATTAAGAAAAGAGTCATCATGGCAATATATAGGAGTTGTTTATCACAGAGCCATATGAATTCAAACCGAGCAGAAGTGATAATTTAACCCCTTGGTTAATATCATTCCTCTGGCAGAGGATCCATGGGATGGATGATTGTGAATTGATTGCCTCGTGCAATTAATTTAGAAATAATGTAGAAATAAACTGCAGCAATATTTCATGTATTTCAGTTTGTGTCAATGAATTTCCATCAGTAATGGCTTTAGGTCCAGGGTAGCAAATAGGACACTGAGATTTGATTTTTTTTTGTAGTGTCTCCATAGAATAAAAAGAACACTTTATTACAAATGTATCAGTACACAATGAAAGGTGTTCTCACCATTGCCATCCCTCCTGATATTTATTATGGGATTTGGAACACACCATTTTTGTTACCCTTAACTTTTATTAGAAAAGAAAAAATTAGTTCTATTCATCATAACATCCATCTGTAAAATGTCAAACTGAAACATTTCATAGCAAAGAAAAATAAGAATTAGAATTTCACTACAGTGAAATCAAGTCATGATTGCTGAACATTTCAGTATGCTTTTACTTTCCACTGTCATAATGCTATAAAAGTCGAAAGTCACAATGGAAATAAAGTAGTCATTCTGTTTCCTCTAAAAAAAAAAAAAAAAAACAAACCTCAAAACTCTGAAAAATAAAGTTATTTATCTAATGCCTCATACAGTTTGTGCAACTTGCCCTCCTTTTCAGATAAATATTATCCAGTTCTGAGTCATGTAAATGAATAGAGCTTGTCAAAGAAGTTAGGAATCCAGAATCCAAACGAAAGTTCATATCTGCTCAAACAGTATTATCAATAGCTGAAAACAAGTATGATGTAATTTTTGCTGTTCAATAATTTAATTTCAGACAGTTCCACTATTACTGAAATAACATTTCCTGATTATATCTCATCTTAAGAAGTTTAAAAAAAACACTGAAAAGCAAACCATATAAGAACTTTAAAAACTGAACTTCTATTTGCAGACATTAGAACAAGATTATTTTAACATCTCAACAGCCCTCCATCAGCCTAGATGATTATCAATATAGAAATCTTAATGAGTCAGCTAACATGCAGTGACAAGCTGTCTACTTGATAATGTTTAAAAAGGATCTATTTATTCTTGAGGCTCAGTGGGAAGATGGGATGTGCTTTATGGAAAAAAAAAAAAAAAAATGGATACGAAATCCCTGTATTCTAATCTTATCTTAGTTGCCCTGTGAAGTTGTAAACACAGTTTCAGGGAGCCTAACTGCAGTTCATCACAGTCTTTGGAATAAACATAAAATCTTCTCTTCAAAAGCATAGGGATAAATGTTAGAGAACATTTGATTCCAGAAATCCCATTAAGATCCACAAATCAGGAAACCAAAACAATGCCATGGGACTCTTCAGAGCAATTCCCCATTGAGAGGCTCCTTTTGCTGTTTTAAGTAGTTGTTTGTACTTGCACCAAGATATAAACCACATTATCACTGACCTGTAAAGAAGTAAATCTTCTCTTGCTCTGAGTCCCTACTTGGAATTATTTCACAAGCTGCTATGTTCATTTAAAATTACCTTCTAATTCTTTAAGCATAGTAACTATGTTTTGCTCAATGTAATAATATCTTTCTCCATTTCTAAGTAATTTTCTCTTGTACCTTTTGTTAACCTTACTAACATCAGAGTAACTAATCCTCTTGACCAGCAGACAAAACATCAGCATACCAGTAGATGAGAAGCTGTTCCTTCCTATTAATGATTCCTTACACTCTATTACTTTTCTCTTTCTCCCACACTTCAAACGCTTCTCATTCAAAATGCCAGTATAACTTAGACTTTTCTTCTAGTATTTAATGGCTCCATCACTGTCCTGTCTTCAGTATCTTTTCTTGCTTTTCCTCAGGAAAAAAAAAAAAGTTCAAGCCATTCCTCTTCCAATTTGGGATTCTAGACTTTCTTCCTGTTCTAAATCCTTCCTTTATGAGTTACTCTTCCTGACAGTTTATCGTGAATTGCTTTGAGTCAAGAAACCAGATGTATTAATTAGTCGCTTGTCTCAGTTAACTTTTTCCATTGAAGATAGAGTTATTTCATACTGCTGATGTGCTTAAAAGCTACATGAATTCCACAAACAGAAAAGATAATTCTCTAGGATCAGCAAAATAACTGATGTTTGTGTTTCTGCAAAATTTCTGAGGTGAATTCTGTGTAAGTATTTAAATGCATAAATGTTTAACTATTTTACTGGACAGCAGGCATAACATTGTAGATGCAATCTTGTGGGAAATTAGTCCTGCAGATGTACTTACAACCTTAGAAAAACAGCAATACCCATGTTATCAGCAGTTCTCCATACAAATAAGTGAGTGAAACTACATTAAGGTTCAGACAAGAGGGGAAAGATATATTCTTTGAGTAAAATGCAATTCTAATCTATCAGTATTTATTTTGAGACCAAAAAAAAAAAGATAGATTTTGGACCTTTTAGCTGACTCTTCCTTGAGAGCTTTGAATCTAGAACTCAGATTTCAGGGAAGAGAATCGGGAGGTGCATTGAACAAAAGGAAAGATTTAGATTGTCTGCACTTTCAAGAGATGAATTCAGGAATACAATTCACATTACCCCATCCCAAACACAGCTGGAAAACAAAAGTGCCTTTTCTTTCTTGCTATCCAAAGTCTAGCCCGAATTCTTTGAAAACAAACTCACTGAAAGATAAATTAAGTCCACCTAAGGGGCCCAAAGTGGCCATCATTACACTTGTTACAAGAGGTCTGCCAAGCCATACAGCTTCCTATGACAAATTCACCCTGTAGCAAATTTAGCATCTTTTTAAGCTAATCCAAAGAGAATGATTTACTGGCAAGTTGCCAAAATGAAGTAGAAAATACTCACTTCCTCCATCATTTTAATACTTGTAGTTTATTGCTGGTGTAAATAGGTTTATAACCTTCCAGTATGAAGCAGAGACATCTGCTCCACTCAACACTAAACATCTGGTTATTCCAACAAAGCATATAATTATATTTAATGGATGAGAAGTGTTTGATGGATTACATCCAAGTATCTGAATAAGACATTTATGCATAAAGACTATTTGCATGGATTATCTTGACAGGATAACAAGACACAGTAGAACATTATTTTGCCTGATATTTATATTGATTTTGACTGAAGCTTTGCATTGCAGAGGCTGCAGATATTTTGGTTGTGTCATGGTTTCAGCCACGACAGTATTAACAGCACTGATGTTAGACAGTTGCTGAGTGCCAGGTCATAGCATATATGTTATAAATGTGTATAATATATTACATATATAATATACATATGAACAAACATTGGTGTTATATATAGCTTTTGAGATATATATATATATATATATATATATACACATATATATATAAACACCAGAATTTTTCTCATTTCCTTTTCTGTGTTAGTAAGTAATTTTTATCTCAACCCACATATTCTATTTTGTTTCCAATTCTCTCCCTCATCCACATGGGAAACAGTGAGCAAACAGCTATGTGGTGCCAAGCTGCCTGCTGGACTAAGCTACAGAAGGCTGCAATCACAAACTCCTTTTTTCCTTAGACAGAATGTAAGATGTAGAAATTTTGATTTGCTATACCAACAGTCCAGCCCACTTACACTCTAATATTGTTCTGTATTACACTTTGACAGTGGATTATGTTTTTCAACCTAAGCATTAAATGTTCAAAGAACCAACTCCTCTACTTGTTCTCATAACCTACTGTCATCATCTAAAATATGGTTTTATCAGGCAGCTGAAAAAAAACAAAACAAAAAAAAAAAAGGTCATTTTTCAGTTAATTGATGCAAGCAAGTAGCTCACCAAAAATGATAAAACAACAGATAGTCTTAAATAGAGAACTATTGTTCTAGAAACAGTAATCATAAAATTCTTCCAAGATTACATTTTTCATTAAGAATTATGACACAGAAATAGGAGTGTTCTAATCAAGCTGAAAGGTTTTGTTAATAAAGGATGATCAGAATAGCAGACAGGAAGAACTGAGTAACATTGAGAGGTCTAGCAGAACTGGGATAAAACTTCTTTGTTTAAACTCCAAAGTAATATTTTTAGAGGCTACAGGCCATGATTCTGCCTATTTTCTGTCATTCCCAGTTCCAAAGCTCATGAGTGGTGGACAAGACTGAACTACCTCAGACACAAATTGGTTTTATTGTGGACAAGAAGATATTAAAAAGCATTTAGTAGTGAGTAGGTATGCACATGTTCCACAAACTTCTTGTTCTGTATATTTGCTTTTCTGAACAGGACAAGGCTTTCATACAAATATATATATGAAAGCCAGTATTCCCATCTTCACCTTCATGAAACACATGCCAGTAACAACTATGAATATCAAAATACACTACACATTCCTATAGACACACACCTCAATACATATAAAATAACCATGACACTGGGGGAAAGATCTTTTCCCCGGGATTTTATACTTCATAGAGGCTACAGGATGAGTCCTGAAAGCCTTATTTATGTCACTTGATGAGGAGTCCAAATGTTCAGTGCTTGCCAGGAATGCTCTTTTGCAAATAGATCGAGCCTTCACATTGTGACTTTCTGAACTCTTTTGTGTTTCTTTTCAGTTTCCTTTGAAGAGCAATTTGCATCGCAGGCAGCACTGGGAAGCTGAGAATTCACAGATCCCACAGATTTTATGTTAGTTTGCTTGGGAAGACGATGGAGCAAAAATTGCCTAAAAAAAAAATATAAGCAAGCACCTTCACATGAATAAATATTAATAGCAAAGTTTCGCACTTATAGAGCAGCTTCCATCTGGAGGTCCTGTCTGGCTTCATAAATATTAACAACCCAGTTCTGTCAAAATCTATCAGAACATTTCCACTAGGATTTCTTGAAAATGTGTCTTGGGGTTATTTTTTTTTTTTTAATAATTGTTTTTAATGCCTCCTTCTGCATCGCAGCAAACATTCTCTTCTGGATCTCTCCTGTGCTCTGAACAGGCTTCCATTTGAACTCCTTGATCATAGAATCATTTGAGTCAGAAGAGATCCTTAAAGGCCACCTGGTCCAACTCCCCTGCAATGAACAGGACACTGACAGCTTTACCAGGCTTCTCAGAGCCACATCCAACCTGACCTTTAACATCTCCAGGAACAGGACATCCACCACTTGTCTGAGCAACCTGTTCCAGCCTGTTCTTGGAGCTTAATTAGTCCTGCAGTGACTCTTTTCAAGAAATGTTGACTCCTTACGTTTGCTTGTCCCCTACTGTACAAGCCTTAAGGGAGACATGATCAGAAAAATTTCAAGAGAACAAGCATGTTTGCATCACTAGGAAGTTAATGGCATTCCTTAAAGCAGGATTCAACATATTTCTCTCATTTAACAAACCTTTCTCCTTGTTAACAATTTCCCTGCCTCCAAGAGTCCCATGCGTTAAAAAAGAGCTCTGGACAGAAATAATGTTAATGTGAATATAAAGCAGACCCTTGTGGAAAGAGTGCTAAAGAGGCAGTAGGTGAGATAACAAATGGCATCATATGTATCAAATTTGTGTTTTTTTTTCCATAAGTTTACCCCATGGCAGTGCTTCTGTGAAGATTCTCTATACTGCAAGATGGTTGGATGAAGAGCCACATTGGAGGCAGAGCTGCTGCTCCTTGTGACAGAGGTGACACTTGGATTGTGAAGCAGCAGTCTGGAGTTACTTCACTATGAAGCCAAATAAAATTTGTTTTCCCATTAGGACACTTGTTGCTTGCTCACGAGGGTTTTTTGCTTATTTTACTATCTACTGCCATTTTTTCCCTTCCTCAAGTGTTAATTCACTGAATAGTTTCTCTCACAGTAGCATAATTCTTTATCCAGTTATCCACAATCTGGATTTCTGTTGTGGAAGAATTTCCTTTACAGCAAAGTTTACATTCGCATAGCAATTGGACAGATCATACAATACAAAAAGGCATTACAACAGAGGTGTGATGACAGAAGGACTAGCACAATAGAAAGATGCTATAAAAGAAGATTATTCACCCATATCAGAAGATTCCAAGTTTGTAGGGGAAAGCTTCACCAAGGAGGGACCTCCAGAAAGAGAACCCTCCCCAGTGGCAGTCAACCCTTAAATGAGATCTAGAAAAATGCAGCCGTGCTCCACCCCTTCCAGTCACACAGCTGAATTGCCTTCACCTGTGCTCCAAGTGCTGATGGAGTCCTTTCCCCAGGTGCTCAATTAGTAGTTCAGGCCATGACTCTACAATTCCCATACAATCCATAAAACTGTGAGATACTGCTGAACATTCTTCTGCTTTTGCAGCATTTCCAGTGCATTTAATAATATTTAAAGAATATTTGGTATTTTAAAGCATGAAAAAAATTGCTTATTTTACAGAATAAAATAAATATTTGATGTTTTATGTGCACAAGGAAAATTGTTTTCCATTCTCCCACTTCCTACCTCTGCCAATGACAAAACATGTTCAGGTAAGGAGTTCATAAGATGTTTTGGCAGATATTTTGGAAAAGAAAAGTAGAGAGAAGGAGCATAGTTTTTATGAAAGCCAAACAAATCATGACTCATGCATTCAGACACAAATGTGATTCCATGCTGATTTTTAAAAACCACATACAAAACAGCACTGAAGCGGTCTGATTCATCATGCTTTTAAAGCAGAGAACTTCAAATAAATTTAATAGAAGCATTTTTTAAAAATCCATTCAGCTTTACAAAATAGAAAATGTTAATGCTGTCTGCAAGGAATCCAAGCCTACGACACATATCAAAAGCCAAAATCCTTACTAATAGGGAGAGAGTGGGAGGATCTTTTCAGGTGCCTTACCCTTAGTGTTTTGTGTTATGATTTTGTCCTGAATAAACTGTTTTATAATTGAGCAGATGAAGTAAGTTGCCTTCAAATTATATTATGAATGAATTGCAAATAGCAAGATCTTCACAGCTTGAAGAAGAAATGTTACGTTCAGCTTTTTTATTCTGGTATTTAAAAGCCCTGAACAACAAGTACATGATGTAAACATCACAGCATCTTTGTTTACTTAGAAAAGTTGCATCCCACTCCATAAGAGACAAGGAGTCAGTCCCTACCACAGACATCAGAAATCTAGGGTCATAGACAACATGGCTCAACCAACAATCAGTATGCCCTTTCTGCTGTCTAAGACAGCAGAACATTGATTCACACAAGAGAGTAGTAAGAGCAAGAAGTCACTGCTCATAGCCCAGCCATCAGCTGCCAGGCACTAACAACATTCGATTCCTAACCGACCCATCTAATTTCTTAGATGAATTAGCACCCTGTGACTATTCTGTGAGCTAGACAGTCATGCCTTACAATTCCACTTGGAAATATGAATTGCTTTAAAAAAAAATAAACTTCCTTGATTGCTTAGAATTTGACCTCTGACAGTGATAACGTGAAAAGAAACAGTGCTACATGAAAGTAAACACCCTATACCTTCTGATATGCAATTCACTGCTTAAAATTTCGCTGTATTACATCACAAAACCTACTTCATTTATCTTTCTGCTCCCGGGAAAACATACCCCTTACTCTTCCCAGATGGCCCGGTGATTTGGTAGGAATTTCTCCACAAGAATTGGTTTGATTTTTGTTGTTGTTGTTGTTTTGTTTTACTTTTTCTTTTGGTGCAAAATAATAAAAACAAAGCAGCTAAACAACATTCATACACCAGGACTTCTCTCCTCCAAGCTAAACAAGCTCAGCTTCCTCACCTGTCTTTGCAGGATGTGCTCCAGCTCTTTGTGGCCCTCCTCTGGACTAGCTCCAACAGCCCCACATCCTTCCTGTACTGGGGCTGCAGGCTTGGACATAATACTTCAGATGGGGCCTCATGAGGGCAGACTAGACTTGCGAAACCCCTCCTTCTGGCTGGGGATTAACAGTAGGTTTTCTTGTTTATTTAAGACAGAAAACGCTCCCAAGGAAAGGAAAAAGTGAAAGAGAAGCATCCAAGATCAAGCCTTTGCTGGAATGCTTTTTCCTTCCTGTAAGACAGTCCCCTGAGAGCAGGACTCGTGGGTGTGAGACAAATGACATCCCCTTCCTGCAGTGTGTTTACACAGGATTCACTCAGCCACATGGGCATCTAAAATAATACATCTTCTCACAATCTTTCTCAGTGCACCCACCCCATCCCTACCTAAGTGCTTAGACACACATTGAAGGCCAACTGAAAATCTCCCAGGTAAGACAGAGGCAAGTTCATCTTGCCAAGAGATGCAAATGCTACAACCTTGGAGACACTCAAGGTCAGGCTGGATGGAGCTTTGTGCACCTGATCAAGTTTTAGGTGCCTCTTTTTATTGCAGAGGAGTTAGACCAGTTGGCCTTCAAGGGCTCATTCCAACTCAAAACATTCTAAGATCTTTCTGCTTCTGGCCTTTTAGTTCCTGAGAGATATCTTGTGCTGCAGTGCTGTATCAGGGGAATACACTCTTCCCAGGGCTCTTTTGATTCAAGAGGGGTAGCTGAGTGCTTAAGCCATCTCTTTCCCTGCTGGTGACCAGATCACCTGTTCTTAATGCTGCTTAAAGATATTCATCTCTAGCACAAATCTGTCTTATCTTTCTCCCATAAAAGAGACTGTCTGATATGCACCTGGGAGCACTGGAGATGAATGCATGTTTATCTCCTGCCACTTTCAGGATGCCTTATTGCAGAGATAGGGAGAAGGATGCTAGATGTGTTGCTTCCACTTGTGAAGAAAAGTCTAGACCCTAGGAATTGCTAAGCAACTTTACATGAGAAAAAAGACACCTTGGGGTGGAGGGGAGTAAAAAAAAAAAAAGTAAAAAAAAAAATTGTTCCACAAAGGATGATAAGAACACAAGAAAGAAAAGAAATAAAAGAAATACATCTGTATGAAAAGGAAATGGGCAAAACAGATACAAAGGGCAATTGGGCAATGGGGAGAGCTAATGAAGCAGCTAGGCATGAAGGGAATGGAAGAACCACTTTCTAGAGAAGCAGCACAGGTCTGAATTCTGTAGGCCACATTATTTCTGAAGGGAAAAGAAAAGTTATTCTCTCCTTTCCAAACAGCAAACAAAACAAAACACACACCATGCCATCCTCTCATGACACCTTGCAATAGAAAACCGTATGGGACTGCAGGCTGCTGTTCCACGGGGGAAGAATTTGAGGTTGCAAAGTGCTAAGGGTGTTTCTGGCTGTCTGCCTAAGCTGCCCTGCTCTGCATGCACACAAATTTCTTCCTGGAAATCTGGACTATGTGGTAGCTGTTGAATTATATCCTGCCTCCAGCAATGCAAAGATCCTCCCAGTGAAATTCAAGAGGATGGAGCCAATGCAGGTGTTAGTACTGCCAGGACATCACCCTGACCTTGTGGTTCCCTCCTTCCCTTTCCCATCAAAATGATTCCAACTGCTGTTATTGTTTTCATTTTGGGTTCTTTGTATTTGGACTGTGATAGAAATTAGGTCTCCCAGTTCCACTACAAGGAAAAGGGGAGTTATTACAGATTTTACATGTTACATAATGAATCAAAAAGAGAACAGAAATAAAGAACATAACAATATTTCCCTGCCCTAAGACAGCCAGGCCTCTTTCCCAGGGCTTTTTTGTTATCCTTCTACATTGGATGCATTGTTTTCCTTACAAATCTCTCACAGCAAACACCGATGCCACTGCTCCTACTGACACAGATAAATTTCTGAAAATAAATGTTAATAC